GGTCGTGGACCTGCGCGGACATCGACGACCGGTGAGCTGGGACGTCCCGACCGAACTTTGCAATGCTCCATCTCGATCGAATCGACGTCGATCCGGCTGATCTTTGGACGAATCGATGGCTCTCGTCGCGTTCTCGAAGCACGACCGAAGCGTCCGGTCCGTCCAATGACGCGCACGTTGAAGTCGGATCGAAGGTTCGAGTGCCGCGCGGCCGCGGACGCGCGACGCGGACACGGGCCGCCGGTGGGCGGCCGCGAAGCGCGACACCTCGACGGCGGGCGCCTCGGACGCGTCGTCGTCGTCGTCGTCGTCGTCGCGGACGTCCACGTCGTCGTAGGGCTCGCCCGGGAGGCCCCCGCGGTCGTCGTCGCCCGCCGGCGGGCCGTCGTCGTCGTCGTCCGGGAGGCGGCGGCGGCGCCGCGCCTTGCGCCGCTGGTGGTCCATGGCCGCGTGGGCGAACTCGGCCAGGAGGGGCCGCTCCCAGACGGAGACGCCGCTCCGCAGGTGGTGGTAGAAGTCGCGGCCGCGCGCGCCGCGCGCCTCGACCCAGCCTGCGTGGAACTCACATCTTCGACCCGACTTCAATGTGCGCGTAATTGAACGGATTGCGCCGGACTCTTCGGCCGTGCTTCGAGAACTCGACGAGAGCGATCGATTCGTCCAAAAATCAGCCGAATCGACTTCGATGTGATTGAGCTAGAGAGTTCTGAAGTTGGGCGGGGACCCCCCGAACCAGCGGTTGAGTTCCACACGGGACTCAGCCCGTCGGCAGCGGCGCCTCGAGCGCGTCGAGCGCGATCCACGCGAGGTCCGCGTCCGTGAAGACGCGGAGCCCCAGCGTGCGGCAGGCCTCGACGAGCGCCTCGTCCAAACCGTTGGCCCAGCGGCCGCCGCACCTTCGCGCCGCGTCGCACGCGACGTCCGCCTCGCGCGCGGCCGCCAACCGCACGCGCCGCAGCCACGCGTTCTCGCGCCACTCCGGCGACCGGCGCACCATCTTGGCGAAGCGCGCCGCGGAGCAGCGGCCGTCGTGCTCCGTGTCGAAGCGCGCGACGAGCCGCCGCACGTCGCCGTCGGAGAGCGCCTCGAGCCCGACGGCCCTCAAACCCCGCGCGAAGGCGCGGCGGCTCACGCGGGGCTCGTCCCCAAAGGCCGCCCGCAGGGCACGCGCGGCGGCCTTCTGCGACGACTCGGGCCGCGGGCCGTCCGGGTCGCCGCCGGCGCCGCCGTCGGGCGACGCCGGCGGCGCGGGCGCCGACGGCGGCAACAGGAGCAACCGCTTCGCCACGGCCTCGCAGACGTCGCGCTCGAAGGCGTCGTGGTCCGGGTCGTCGACGAACACGGCAAAATCGCCGAGGTGCACCGCGAGCTGGGACGCGTCGTCGGGCGCGTCGCGGCAGAACCGGCGCACCAAGGCCCTTGCGTCGCCCAGCGTCGCGCCGACGCCCAAATCCACCAAACCCTCGAGCAGATCCCGCGCGTCGAAGCACTTGCGCACGCGCCGGTCGAAGTGGGCGAAGATCTGCGTCAGCGTGCGGCCCGTCGACGCGCGGCGCCGGAGCACGAGCTCGCGGAGGTGGCCCTCGAGCCGCGCGATGCGCGGCCGCCCCGGCCGCGGCGCCGCGGGGTGGCGCGGCCGGTTGTCGCCGTCGAGGATGATCCCGTCGCCGCCGTCCGCGAAACGGCCCGGCGGCGCCGCGGCGAAGGAGATCTCCGGCGCGCGGCGGCCGCGGCGGCCGGGGCTCGCCGCGCCGCCGCGCGTCGACGCCGCGCGGCCGTCGGGCTCGAAGACGGGCGCCGCCAGGTCCGGGCCGTCGCCGCGGTCCCGGTAGAAGCGCGCCGCGTGGTCCGAGCTCAGCAGCTCCGACGCCCGGGGCCGCTCGCGCGACGAGTCGCGGTCGCTCGGCTCCAGCGTCTCGTGCGGCCCCTCGAACGCGTCGAGCTCGCCGTCGTCGTCGTCGTGCTCGACGATGTCGTCGAGGTCGCTCGACGGGCCCGCGGCGCCCAGCGCCTTGGCGGGCGCGGCCCAGCCCTCGGGGCGCAGCACGCGCGGGTACGCGGACTGGGGCCGCGGACCCGCCTTGCCCCGCTCGCGCGGCACCGCGGACCGGGGCCGCGCGCGCCGCTTGTCCTGCGCGACGAAGCTCGACGAAGCTTTGGAAGAGCGGTGGCCGTTGGTTCGCTGCTTGCCCGGCGCGTCGGCGGGCTCGCGGCTGCGGGTCTCGAGGCGCACGGTCCGCGACCGCCGGTCCATGTCGCGGCGGCGAGAGGCGGCGGACTCGTCGGCCGCGTCGTCGGACGAGCCGGAGGCGTGGCGCTTCGGCGACGCCGGCGCCGACACGGACGTCGGCGGCGCGTCGTCGGCCTGTGGCGGCTCCGGCGCCGCCGGCGCGGCGGACTCGGGCGCGGCGTCGGGCGCGTCGTCCGACCGGGGCCTCTCGTCCTCGTCGTAGTCCAATAGACCGATCTCCTCGAGCTGCACGAGGCTCAGCCCGATGGGCGACTTCTGGCGCTTCTGGAGCCGCTGCGACCGCGGGATCTGGTCCAGGTCCCGCCGCGCCGTCGACACGCCGGAGCTCTTGTAGGCCTCGCGGTCGTCGGTGCTCTCGGCCTCCGGCTCGTCGGGCGCCGCCATGGGACCGACGCTCCGCGACCGCGGCTGGGACGCGTTTCGCGGCGCCGTCCGGCCGCGGTCCTCGCCGTCGTCCTCGTCCTCCTCCTCCATTGGGGCAGCCCGCGCCGCCGCGGCGAGAGCGCGCTCAGCGGTCGATCGGTTGGAGCCCCGACACAAACATGATTTCCTGGGCCAAGGTCGGCCTCTTGAAGGTCCCCCCACCGTGACGCGCGCCTTACGCCGTCGGGAACCCCGGGAGGTCGGCGTTCGGCTTCGGCGGCGTGCCCGCGTCCGGGTCGAAGCTCTCGAGCTCCTCGTCGACGTGCGCGAGCCACGCGCCGCCGAGCTTGTCCATGACCTCGGAGCCGACGCTGAAGAGGCGGCGGACGGCCTTGACGGGCGCGGGCGACGCCGCGCGCGCGTCGTCGGCGGCGGACTGGGCCCGGTCCGCCCGGCGCTCCGCGGCGGCGACCTTGGCGCCGAGGTACGCCTCCCTTTTCTCGCGCGCCGCGGTCGCGCAGACGGTGGCGACCAGATCCCCGAGGACGCCCGCGGCCGCCGCCGCCGCCGCGCCGCGCCGCTCCAGCGCCGCCGCGTCGGCCGCGCGGCCCGTCGTCGCGTCGGCGAGCGCCGTCGCCGACGCCGCGAGCTCCGCTCTGACGGCGGCGGTTTCGCGTTCCGCGGCGTCCGCGCGCGCGGCCTCCGCGGTGGCCCCGGCGGCGGCCGCCGCGAGCGCCTCGTCGCGCCGCTCCAGGGCGTCGCCGTGGCGCAGGGCCGCCGCGGACGCGTCGTCCTCGGCGCGCGCGAGCTCCGCGTCGACGCGCGCCGCCCGGTCGAGCGCCGCGGCGAGCGATGCCGCCCGGGACTCCGCGGCCGCGGCGGCGTCCCGGAGCTCGCGCCGCAGTACGCCGAGGGCGTCGTCCTTCGCCGCGACGTCGGCCTCGAGCGCGGCGACGGCGGTTTCCAGCGTCGCGATCTCGCCCGCGGCGTCGTCGAGCGACGCCCGCGTCCGCGCGGCGAGCGCCTCGGCGTCGTCGGCGCGGCGCCGCTCGCCGTCGCCCGCGTCCTCCGCGGCGCGCTTCGCGTCGCGGCAGGCGTCGAGGTCCGCGGCCAGCGCCTCGTTGCGGCCCCGGAGCGCGGCCGCGTCGGCCTCGGCGCGCGCGCGCGCGTCGGCCTCGCGCGCGTCGGCCGCGGCCGCGCGGCCCTCGGCGGCGGCGACCTTGGCGTCGCGGTCCGCCTCGACGCGCGCCGTGGCGTCGGCGAGTTCCGCCGCGCCGCGCGCCTCGGCGAGCGCGACCGCGGGCTCCGCGAGCCCTGGATTAGCCCGCGCCGCGAGCGCGTCCGCGAGGTGCCGCAGGCGCCGCGGCCCGCGGCAGGCCCGGTCGAGGGCCTGCGCGTGGTCGCCCCAGGCCCGCGCCAGGGCCGCGGCGTCGTCCGCGGACGCGACGACCGCGTCGTGCGACGCCGCGGCGGAGGCGCAGAGCGCGGCGCAGCACGCGTCGGACCGCGCGTTCAAACTCTCCCGAAACCGCTTCCCCGCGCGGTCCAGGGCCACGCGGAGCTTCTTCCGCCGCGCGGGCCGGTCGGGCCCGTCGCACGCCGCGCCGTCGAAGACCGCCATCGCCTTTTTCGCTCCGTCTTTGTGGACCTCGTAGACCGCGAAGCGGTCCTCGACGGCGCCGTGGGCCGGGTCGTCGATTTCCGGGAGGCCCCTCGCCGGGGCGTCGTCGTCGTCCGGTGGGTTCTTGGACGCGACGTGGTCGTCGTAGCACTTTTCCGCGTCGTCGGCGGCTTTGGCGTTGACCTCGCGCGCGGCCGCGTCCCAGGCGCCCCTGATCGACGGCGCGGCGCCGGCGTTGATGGACGCGACGTGGAGCCGCGCGAGCGCCGCCAGGGACGCGCCCGTCGCCGCGGCGCCGCAGACGATTTTCCGTTTCGCGGGCTCGAGCGGCGCGGCCGCGGCGTCGCCGAGGACGAGCGCCGCCCGTAAAGCCCCTAACTTGGCGACGAACTCGGGCCGCAGCTCGTCGTCGTCGAGGAACGTCGCTCGGCGGAGCGCGGCCTCGTCGCTCGCGGGGCGCACCAAGGTGGCGCACGCGCGCCGCCCCGCGGGGAACAACGTGCGCAAACTCCGGCGGATCGCGTCGCGCCGCGCGTGGCGCAGGGCCTTCTTGTTGTCGCCCGCGTCGCCGCCGCGGTCCCGCAGCGCGTCCTCGAGGTACTCCGCGTCCGTGATCGGCTGGCCGTCGCGCGTCGGCTTCAGGGCGAAGTCGCGGACGAGCACTAATAGCGGCGGGAAGTGGGCCGCGAGGGCCGCCGCGGACCGGTCGAGGGCTGCTGCTTCATCTTCATCCTCCACCTTGTGCTCGCCCTCGACGACGACGCGCTTCGTGACCTCGCTGACGAGGTGCAGCCGCTCGATCGTCGCGTCGTCGATGACGCCGACGACGTTGAGCACGAAGTAGCTGCTCAGGAGCAGCGCTAACGCGAAGATCTTGGCGTCGTAGGAGTCGTCCTGGTCCGCCGACGCGAGACCCTCCGTGTCCATGAGCAGCAGCGTCGACCCGTCGGCCGCGCGGAGCCCCGGCGACCGCCACAACCAGACGCCGCGCGTGCAGGGCTCCGTCGTCTCGCCGACGCCGAAGCCGCCGGACCTCGCGCCGGCGGCGCCGGCGAGGCGGTTCAGGAAGAACGACTTGCCCGTGCGGTACATGCCGGCGACGGCGACGACGCTCACTTTCTCGCCCCCGAGGGCCTCGAGCAGCGCGACGCCGGCGTCGTCGACCCGGAGGAGCGACTCGCCGTCGGCGCCGAGCTCGTCGCACTGGGTGATGAGCGGCACGACGTCGAGCGCGTCGGGATCCATATCGCTGCTGCTCACACTGCGAGTTGCTGGCTGCTAACAGAGCTAGTTTTGAACCATCGTGCTGCGCTCGGCGTGCGGGCCAATCGCGCTTGGGCGGCGGTAAAAGGCCTCCCGGCTGGAGGACTGCGGAGCTCACGGGGAGTGACTGCCTGCTCCAACCCCCAAACACCTGCGACGGCTCGGCCCATCGACGACTCCGCCTCGGCCGGCGTCCTCCGAGCTCGAGCGCCGCGACAGCGAAGCTGATCTCCACAAAACTGAGGCGCATCGAGGTGGAGCTGCTTGCCGACGGATCCAGGTCGCACGCGCCGCGCCGCGGCGGTCCACCGACGCAAAGATGCGCCCATTCCTCCTCCTCTGCTTGGCCGCGGCGTCGGCCTTCCAGACGCCGCAACGCCGGCCCCCGGCGCCGCCGCCGCGCGCCGCGTCCGTCGCGCTGGAACAAACGCTACGCTCGCTCACGGTGGCGCGCACGCCGGCGGAGCTCAAGGAGGCCGCGAAGCTCTGCGGCGAGTCCTTCCCCGGGTCCACGGAGGCGACGCACTACGGCGTCCTCGTCGACCCCGGCTCCCTCGCGAACGTCTTCTTCGACGCGAGGGCGTCCGCGTCCGTCGCGCTCGTCCGCGAAGAAAGCGACGAGCCGCCGCTCGCCTGCGTGCAGCTCGTGCCCTGCGCCGTGCGCCGCGAGGCGTCGGCGGCGCGGTCCGGCGCGCCCGTGCTCTGGGTGCAGTGCCTGTGCGTCGCGCCGGGGAAGCGGCGGACGGGCGCGGCGCGCGAGCTGATGGCGTGGTGCGAGGCCGAGGCGGCGGCGGCGGCGGAGAGCTCCGGCGCCGCGGCCTGCGAGATCTGGCTCGCCGTGCGCGACGACAACGTGCCCGCGCGGACGCTCTACGAGTCCATGGGTTTTACAGGAGACGGCGAGTCGCGGCGGTCGCACGTCATTCTCGCCAAGGCCGTGCCCGCGGCGGCCGCCGGCGGCCCCCGGGGGCCCGCGGCGTCCTTCGACGTGCTGTCGGGCAACGCCGCGGGCCCGCTGGACGTGCTCGGCGCCGCGGCGCGCGAGGCGGGCCCGTCGCTCGTCTTCGCGCTCGTCGCCGCGTTGGGCGCGTCCGCGCTCGTCGCGCCCTTCTTCTACAATGGCCTCGACGCGCCGCCGCCCGTCGCCATGGCCGGCGCGCTCGTCGGCACGCCGTTCCAGGCGCTCGGCGACGCGGCGCTCGGCGCCGGCGCGGCCGTCGCGGCCGAGGCCGCGTCCGGCGCGGGCTCGCGCGACGAGGAAGACGTCCTCGCGGCGCTCGAGGCGAACCCGTCGCTCGCGGGCCAGAAGGCCGCGCTCTGGCGCGTCACGGGCGCCGCGCAGGCGCCGGCGCCCGTCGCGCTCGCCGCGGTCGTCGCCTGGCAGCTCTCCGCGGCGCTCTCCGAGGAGCTCTACTACCGCGCGCTCCTCCAGAACGGCGCGGCCCAGGCGCTCACGAAGCTTTCAAGCTCGCCGGCCCTCGGCGAAACCGTCGCGCTGGCGGCGACGACGGCGCTCTTCGCGGTCGCCCACGCGAGTTGGGTCGACGAGACGGGCGCCGAGGCGTCGGCGTCCATGTCCGAGGACGACATGCGCGGCGACTGGCTCAAGGAGACGGCGCCCTTCGGGCTGCTCTTCGGCGCGCTCTTCGCGGCGACGGGCCACCGGCTGCTGGCGCCCGTCGTCTGCCACACGGCGCTCAACGCCTACTGGTCCAGCGTCGACGCGGCGAAGCTCCGGGCGGCGCCGGAGCGCGCCAAGCTCGCGGCCATCTTCGACGCGCAGCGGCCCCCCGACATGCCCCGGTAGTAACCATGCGGCGATCTTCCTAGGCCCCGCGCGCCGAGGCGGCGTGCGGGGGGAGGCGCTCTTGGCCCGCGCGCGGCCCGGGGAGTCGCTCGTTCGCGTGCGGCCCGGGGAATCGCTCGTGGCCCGCCCGCGGCGCGCACACGACGCGAGGGATGGTGGTGTTTTTGTTAAGGGGGGCGTGCGAAGCGAGGCGAACCGCGCGGGCCGCTTAGATGTCCTTGCGCTGGAGCCCCGGGGGCAGGGACTGGGTCAGCTTGTCGGCCTTCTCCGTGTCGGAGACGCGGAGCGTGTAGAGGTAGCGGGAGCAGCGGATCTTGAACTTGACGACGCCCTTGGTCTTCTTGATCTTGACCGACTTCGCGTCGCGCCTCCGCGCCTTCTGGAGGAAGTCGCGGATGTCGGAGATCTCCTTCGGCATGGTTCCTACGGAGGGGCGGCGCGGTAAGAGTCTGTGCGGGGGCGTTTTTGGGGGAGTGGGGTTCGGAGCGGGTTCGGATCGGGGGAAGCGGTCGGTCCCGGCGCCGCCGGGCGGGGCGAGGCCCTTTTGACGCGCCAGACGGCGGCAGCTCGGGAACGTCTAGGCTTCGCAGTGCGGGCATCGACACCGGCGGAGGGCGCCGTCGCTTTGAGCGGCGGCCGTCTCTCCGCTCGAATGGCGTCGACGCCGCGCTGGCAAACGCGAGGCGACTTGAATCGCCGGCGCAGCGCTTCCACGCAAAGCCCACACGTCCCACAGCGTCTGTCAGCCGTCACACGCGCGTACGGCCCGAAACCACGGCGCGCGCGGGGCGGCGATCAGCTTTTTGCGGCTCACCTTGTCGACTCGCGAAATGAAGCGATGCACGGACACAAGATCCCCGGCTCGCTGCGCCCCGCGGGCGTGCAGAGTGCGGCCACAACAGATTTACGATGGCGGCCGCTCCGTAAGCACGCAGCCCACTAGGCCACAAATGGCCGACGCGACGCTCCCAGCCGGCTGGACGCGCCACCACCACCGCGAGTCCGGCGTCGACTTCTACGTCCACGAGGCCAGCGGCGAGACCCAGTGGCAGCCGCCCGCGGACGACGGCCTCGCGCCCGGCTGGCACGCCGTCGTCGACGAGGCGACGGGCGAGACCTACTACGCCCACGCCGAGACCCACGAGACGTCCTGGGCGAAGCCGCGGAGCGGCTGGGCCAAGGTGACGTCGGGCGACGACGTCTACTACGCTCACCGAGGGACGGAGGAGACGACGTGGGAGCGGCCACCGGGCTACGAGTCGCCGGCCGAGGACGGCGCCATCGACGCGGCCGCCGACGCGCCGCCCGCCGACGCGCCGGCGCCGCCCCGGGGCGCGGACGTCGGCGACGGCTGGCACCGCGTTTTGGACCCCGAGACGCAGGAGCACTACTACGCGCACCGCGAGTCGCTCGTCGTCCAGTGGGAGCCGCCGACGGAGGGCAACTTCTCCCCGGGCATGCGCGCGGCCTTCAACGGCCACGACGGCGACGCGGCGGACGACGACGCGGCGGCGGCGCCGGACGACGACGACGACGGCGCGGCGCCGCCGGACCCGCCGGACCCGGCGGCGGAGGCCGCGGCGCTCCGCGCGGCGCTCGCGGGCGCCGAGGACGAGGCGCGCGCGTCGCGCGCCGCGGCGGACCGCCTCGCCGCGGACCGGCGCGCGCCCGCGCCCATCGCGGACCGCGACGACGGCCGCTTCGAGCCGCCGCGGAGCCGCGGCGCGTCGCTCGCGTCGCCGAGCGAGCGCCTGTGTGGAATTCAAATATTCAATCCGACTTCAATGTGCGCATATGCGACAGTTTCGACGCGAGCTCTTCGGCTGTGCTTCGAGAACTCGACAAAAGCAATCGATTCGTCCAAAAATCAACCAAATCGACTTCGATTTGATCGAGCTAGAGAATTTCAAAGTTTGGTCAGGACCACCCAAACCAGTGGTCTAATTCCTCACAGGCGAGCGCGACGACGACGGCCTGAGCATCGCGGACTCGCTCTTCGACCACCGCGGCTCCCTCGTCTTCCAGTGGGACGAGGACGACGTCGAGGCGGCCGACGACGCGCGCTGGCGGAAGCGGCAGGCGCGGCAGCGCGCGCGCTGGAAGCGCGGCGCCCGGGACCCGGCGACGGGCGCCGTCCTCGACGCCTTCGCGCGGTCCGCGGCGCCGGCGGTGCCCGCGGCGCCGCCGGCGCCGGTTCGGCCCGGCCGCCGGCCGCTCGCCGTCGGCGGCCGCGCGACGCGCCGCGGCTTCGCGCTCCTCCGCGCCGCGGGGTGATACCATATCCCGCCCGCGGGATATGTCGAACGGCACCTTGGGCTTCGTCCTTCTTTCAGACGGGATTGCTTATGCGTGCAAGGGGGGGGGGGTCTTGTCGACCGGCCGTCTATATCACAAAAGCACGGGGGCCGCCAGCACCGGCGAAGTTGAAGTCAGCAGGACGGCACCGCGCGGATCGCGCAGTGGTCCTCGAGGATGCCCACGTAGCGGCTCGGCCAGACGTGGTCGCCGTCGTCGAAGAGGGGCGACACGCGGAGCCAGTTGAGGAATTTGGACCCGTCCTTGCGCTCGTTGAGCACGGCGGCCTCGCCGCGGCGGCCGGCGGCGACGGCCGCCATGAGGCCCGCGAGCGCGCCCGCGTCGCCGTGGAGCACGGCCAGGGTCTCGCCGACGACCTCCTCGCGGGAGTAGCCGCACAAAGCCGTCCAGGCCGGGTTCACGTCGAGCACCTCGTAGGGCGCTTGCGCGGACGTGACGACGAGCGCCTCGGGCATGTCGTCGAAGGACGCGTCGAAGGCGTCGAAGGAGCTCCGCCCCGCCGCCCTCGCGGCGGGTTTGGGCGCCGGTCTGGGCGGCTTCGCGGGCCAGACGAAGGAGCCCCGGGGCGGCGAGCTCGACGGGAAGCTCACGGGCGAGAAGGGCGTCTCGGGCGTCAGGGGCTCCGGGTCGTCGTCGAAGTCGCGGGCGCGCCGGGGCTGGAAGGACGTGCGGATGCGCAGGGGCGCCGCCGGGGCGAGGGACCGCGTCGGGAGGTCCGGCGACGGCGCGAGCTGGCGCACGCAGGACGCCGCGGGCATTGTCTGTGGCACGGGGCAGCCGCTCGTCGATGATCCTCGGAGCTTGAGAATGAAGCGTACGAATTTCAATGGGCTTCAAGATCAAGGCCAGTGCAAGAATCGCTGGCCGGCCCGGCAAGGGGATCTTCACTTGAAGATCCCCTTGGGCCCGGCGATTCCTGACCTGTCACGATTAATAGGGGCGTTGGGGGGAGTTCGAAGTCAGTCGTCGGCGCGCGCGGGGTCGACGCCGCCGGGCCCCTTGCACCAGAGGTACGGCATCATGGGCGCGCCCTCCTCGACCTTGTCCTTGCGCATCTTGTTGAAGGCCGTGAGCCGCGCCATGTTCGTCGTGCCCTCGGCGACGACCTTGCCGTTGCGGTCCACGATGACGCCCTTGGCGTCCGTGGACAGCGCGGACGACCCCGTGCCGCCGCCGCCCTTCGTGAGCTCGATCTTGACGACGTAGGTCTCGCCCGCGACGGCCCGGAACGGCGCGAGCTTGTGCACGAACTTCCGCGTCGACATGTTCGGCTCGTCCGTCAGCTTCATGAGCTCCGCCGTGCCCTCGTCGAGCACGGAGTGGAGCGCGCCGGGGTGGACGACGTCGACGCCGTAGACGCCCTGGGCGGGGTCCAGGGCCTGGGCCTCGCAGGCCTTCTCGGAGAAGCGGACGACGCCCGCGAGCGCGCCCGACTTTTTGTCGTAGAAGTGGCGGAAGTCGATGCCGCGCTGCAGCGCCGCCTCCTGGCCCGTCGTCCAGACGCACTCCGACTTCTCGACGTCGCCCGTCCAGGCCATCCAGATCTGCTTGATCCAGACGTCGTGGTCGTCGGAGAGGCGCAGCTTCTCGTGGTCCGGGTCGTCGGGCGGGAAGAGCGTCTTCGTCCGCGGGTCGCCCTTGAGCAGCGCCGAGTCCTTGTAGCGCTCGCAGGTCGACGGCGTCTCCGCCTGGATCTGCGGGTCGGGTTGGGGCTCGGGGGCCAGGGCCTTGGCGTGCACGAGGCCGTCGACGGCCTCGATCCCCTCCGGCACGTCGCGCTTCGCGTAGCGGAGCGGGTCCTCGGGCTCCGGGTAGTCGAAGACGGGCTCGGCGAAGGGCCCGTCGACGACGAACCTCCCCGCGGGGCCCCGGCAGTCGTTGGCGAAGTAGAGCCGGAGCAGCGAGCCCTTGAGCGCCTTGGCCTTGGCCTTGGACACGAGCTGGTCGTCCGCGTCGAAGACGCTCACGGACGCGAACAGGAACATCTCGACGTCCTCCGCGTCCGGGTCCCGGCTGATGCCGCTGTCGGAGAAGGTGACCATGGTGTCGAAGTCCTCCTCCTCGTCGTCGTCGTCCGTCTTCTCCGGCAGCCGGCACACGGCCTCCATGCGGTAGGTCTGGCCCTGCTGGTGGGGCACGCGGATCTCGCACCGGAAGTCCACGAGCACGGCCTCGCTGTCCTCCGTGCACTTGAGCGCCTCGACCATGGCCTCGTGGAGCACCGTCTCGATGCAGCCGCCGTGGACGAGGTCCAGGATCCACGTGAGGCTCCGCGCGCCCTGGGCCTCGGGGCCGAACTTGACGCAGCCGTGGAGCGTCGACTCGCGCTCGTCGTAGAACGTGCGCATGTCGACGCCCCGGAGCTTCCGCGCGTCGCCGCCGCCGTTGACGAACGCCTCGCGCACGGGGAGGAACGACCGCGTCCAGGGGTCGAAGGCGTGCTTCGTCAGCAGCGGCAGGCCCCTGCCCTCGGGCGTCGGCGCCCAGAGCTTCGCGTAGACGGCGTCGTCGTCGTCGATCAACGAATGCTCGAAGGCCGGCGCGCCGCACGACCCTTTTAGCGCCGCGTCGCGGTAGTTCGCCGGCGTCGACTTGTCCGTGAAGACCTACCGGGCGCGTCGGTAACGACGGTTCTTCGCGTTCCCGGTCGAAAGCTCTCGAAAATCGTCGCGGCCACGGGACGCCGGCGAAGACGAAGCGCTCCGGGTAGACGTCCTTGACCGGCTCGCGGTCCACGTCCGGCAGCGGGTCGCCGCAGCGCGGCGGCACCGTCGGGAGCTTCGCGTCCGAGGGCTTCGTGGGCACGATGCCCCCTATCGAGTCGAAGTAGACGCGCTTCCCGCCGTCCTCGGCGGCCACAAAGTAGCGCGGCATGGCGCTGTACTGGAGCTTGCGCGTCGGCCCGCTGCCGAAGAGGTTCACGAAGCGCTGCGTGATCTCGCACTGGTCGACGGGCACCGAGAGCTCGGGGCGATCCGCGGGCTTCGTCGCGCCGCCGGGGCTGCGCTGCTTCGGCGCCGGCAGGGCGTGGCTCGTCGTCTTCGCGGGGACGACGGTCTTGAGGGAGAGCCAGCCCCCGACGGGCCGGCAGATGCGCAGGCGCGTGTCGCCCTTGGCGTTCGTCGCCTCGGCGACGGCGTGGACGATCTGCTTGCTCTTGAGCACGCAGACCTCGGCCGTGTCCGTCTCGATGCCCGCGCGCACGATGGTCCCCTTCTTGCCCTTGACCTGGTACGGCCCGCCGGCGTGCGGCGACTCCGCCATGCTCCCGCACGAGGAGTGGTGCTTTCTGCCCGGGCAGCCCTTGTCCACTCGACGTCCGCCGGCGAGGTTTCTTGAAAAAGTAAGCACGAGCTTCAACGTACGCCGTCGCGGAGGGACGGCGGGAGCTTGGCCCGGGGCGTGTGGACGCCGGCCTCCGCGTTCGCCTCGAGCGGCCCGTCGACCAGGCGCACGGTCCCCGGCCAGAGCCGGCCGTCCTTCGTGAGGTCCGCCAGGAGGGGCGCGACGTGGGCCGCGCCGCCGAGGACGTCCGCGAGCTCGAGCTCGAGCTTCTCGAGGGTCCGGCGCGTCCTCGGGTTGCCGCGCGCCGCCTCGATTGGGCCCGCGCGCGCCCAGGCCGTGAGGCAGCGGCCCCAGTCGTCGTCGCCGCCCAGGAGCTTCGGGAGCGCGGTCTCCAGAATGCGGTGCGCGAAGAAGCGGCGCTCCGCCAGCGGCCGCCCCGCGAGCGCGACGCGCGGCGCCGCGCTCCGCTTCAGCACGGCCTGCGCCGAGTCGCACCAGTAGTTGACGCTCACGCTGTCCTCGCCTACGCCGCGCGTCGGTGACGAACGTTCGTCGTCTTCGACGGCTCTCGAACGTTCGCGGGACGCCGGTCCCCGCCCGGGTCGAGCTGCTGCACGAAGTGCCAGTAGCCCGCGGGGATGTGGAGCACGTCGCCCGCGTCGAGCGTCGCCGTCGCGCCCCGCGCGTTCCGGAGGCTCGGGTACGCGTCGAAGACGCCCGGCGCCTCGAGGTCGGGCATGGCGTAGTTGTCGAGCGTGTGCGACGGCGGGTACGGGTAGAGGTCGAAGCTCTGGGACCGCGGGAAGAGCAGGACGTGCTTCCGTCCGCAGATCTGCGCGAGGAAGTTCTCCTTCTCGTCGTAGTGGAGCGGCGTCACGCCGCCGCAGCGGCCGGCCCAGAGCTGCGCGAGGTCGAAGCGGCCCCAGCCCGCGGCTTCGCGGACGCGGTGGAGCCACGCCCAGCCGATCTTTTCGCAGGTCGCGGAGCAGCGCGTCGCCCAGCGGCGCGCTCTTCGCGCCGCCGTCTGGCGCCGCGTCGCGCCCGGCGTCGCCGTCGCCGTCGTCGTACCAGATCAGCGGGCACTGGAAGTAGAAGTCCAAGTCCGCGTCGTCGCGCGACCGCTCCGCGAAGGACCGCAGCGAGCAGGTCGCGATGCCGCCGGCCCGCGAGGCCTCGTCGTGGCTCCAGGCCGCGTACTTGCGCGGGAAGCGGTTCAGCCGCTTCGGCGCGTAGTGCGCGGAGAACTTGTCGTAGTCGCTTCCCCTTTCGGCCATGTCGTCGATCGACCAGCCCGCGTCGACGAGGGGCCGCGCGAGGCCGCAGCCGCCCGTGATCACCACCGGCGTCCCCGACCGCAGCGCCGCGAGCACGCGCGCGTCGTCCGCGACGGGGACGCGCGCGACGGCGCCCGCGGCGAGCGACGCGGGATAGCGGAGCGCGTCGCCCTCGAGGGACAGGCAGGGCTCGGCCTCGCGCGCGAAGAGGCTGCCGACGGCCGCGTCGTCGTCGAGGAGCGTCCGCCCGAGCTTCAAGCGGGCGCCGGTGAGCGCGGTGGCATGGGTGCGGTCGCGCTGGGCGACGAGCTTCTCCTTGAGGCGCCCGATGCGCTTCGCGCGCCAGGACGGCGGCAGCTTGATCTTCAGCGCCGCGGCCGTCGGCTGCGCGCGCGGCGGCAGGAGCACGATTGTCAGGGTGTCGGCCATTCAGGGAGGCTCGAGCAGCCCCATCATAACCCACTGCATCCCCCCTGCATCATCGGGAGCCCAAACTTCAGCTCCGCAACCTTGCCTCGGCTCGAGACACGCACTCGCGTCCTCGTCGTCGAGCGTCGCGGGGCCGTCCTCCCCACGCGTCGCGCCTCGGCGGCGGCGCCGTCGTCGCCCATGGCCCGCCGGGCGCTCGCGGCGGCGCTCGCCGCGTCGGCCGCGGCCCTGGACGCGAACCCGACGAAGGAGGCGGCGGCCCACACGCTCGGCGCGCTCCGCGACGTCGGCGCGGGCGCGGAGATCTACGTGCTCGCGCAGAACTTCCTGCTCTACATCACGCTCGTGATCATCACGGCGCTCCTGCAGCACTACTACTTCCCCGACAGCATCACCGCGGGCGCGTCGGCGCCGCGGCCGGCCAAGGCCGCCGCGGACGGCGACGTCGAGATGGAGCCCATGCTCGACGACGACGAGGGCTCCGGCGCGGCGGGCGTGGCGGAGACGAAGGCCCCGCCGTCGCCCGCGCGGGTCAAGCGCTCCGGGTCCATCGGCCAGCTCATGAACGTCTTCGACGACTCGCCGTTGGATCAGGAGAGCTCGACCAAGCGCGAGGTGCTCACGTCGCTGGGCGTCTGCGTCGCGGGTTTACTATTATCGTTCTTGGTGTGGGGCGTGCTCCAGGAGCGCATGCTCACGAAGCCCTACAACGGCGACTACTTCACGTCGTCGTACGGCCTCGTCTTCCTCAACCGGCTCGGCGGCTTCCTCATCTCGGGCGCGATGCTCTACGTCTTCGCGCCGGCGTCGTCGAACGCCGTCGCCTACCGCTTCGCCTTCCCGTCCGTGTCGAACATGCTCTCCAGCTGGTGCCAGTACGAGGCGCTCAAGTACGTGTCGTTCCCGACGCAGATGCTCTTCAAGTGCTTCAAGCTCTTTCCGATCATGGTCATGGGCAAGGTGCTGGGCAACAAGGTCTACCCGACCTACGACTACGTCGTGGCCCTCGTCATCGGCGTGGGCATCGCCGTCTTCTCCGTGTCGACGGAGGAGTTGGATATCGGCCAGGACTCCATCGGCGAGATCGAGACCGTCGGCGGCACGATCTGCGGCGTCATCCTCCTCCTCTTCTTCCTCCTCTTCGACAGCTTCACGGGCCAGTACCAGGCGCGCCTCTTCAACGAGCACCCGGACCTGAGCCCCTACCAGATGATGTTCATGGTCAACACGTTCTCCATGGTCTTCTCCTTCGTGACGCTCGTGCACACGCACGAGCTCTACGCGCTCTGCGAGTTCGTCTACGACCACGCGGACATGCACATCCACCTCATCGTCTTCTCGTTGGCGTCGACCGTGGGCCAGCTCTTCATCTTCAAGACCATCAAGGCCTTCGGGCCCGTGATCTTCGCGATCTGCATGAACACGCGCATCATCCTCTCCATCCTGCTCTCCGCGCTGATCTACGGCCACGACATCACGCCCCCGGGCATGGTGGGCCTCCTCCTCGTCTTCTCCGCCATCGCCTACCGCATCAAGCGCAAGACCGACGCCGACGGCAAGCCCCTCATCAAGTGGGCCGGCATGAACGACGACAAGTCCATGGACGTGTTCCACGAGTGGCACGAGCACTGCGACATGTGAGGGCGACGTTAGCGCGGGCGGCGCGCTAATTTTTCGTCGCGCACCGCTCCCAGGCGGGCGACGCCGCGGCGCAGTCCGTCGCCGCGTGCTTCGTCGCCGCGTTGCAGACCCAGTTGCTCAGGTCGTTGGCCGCGGGCGCGCACGCCGCGGCCGTCGCCGGCGCGCAGCCCGCCGGGCCGTCGCGGCGCACGGCGATGCCGCACTTCGCGTCGGACACGTCGCTCGCGGCGCCTCCCGCGTCGTAGTAGTAGGTCGTCGGGAAGGACGCGAGCGCCGCGGGGTCGACGCCGAGGATTTTCTTCGACTGCGCGACGCAGTCGGCGGAGCCGCTGCAGAACGTGAAGGTGCCGTTCGGCGTGCCCTCGGCGTCGACGAGCAGCTTGAAGGGCTGGATGCCCGTCGCGTTCAGAGCGCCGTCGTGGGTCGTATCGTAGAGCATGGTGCCCATGGTGATCTCGCAGAAGACGCAGCCCTCGAGGTGGAACACGACGAGCGCGTTGACGGGATGACCGTCCTGGAAATGCGCGCCGAGCTGCGTTCGCATGCTCGTGTCCGGCTTGGCATAGAGGTCCACGATGTCATGCACGGCATGCGTGGACGCGAGCGTCAGGGCGGCGGCGAGGAGGCGCATTGTTTTCGAATGGCTTGCGATTGGGCTGCTAGGCTAGGCTGTGGACGCGAGCGTCAGGGCGGCGGCGAGGAGGCGCTTCGAATGGCTCGCGAGCGGGGCTGCTAGACAAGGCGGCATCTACAAGTCACTTTGTCGATGGTGCCGATTCAGTTAAGGCTGCCCACGCCGGCCCCACGGTGGTCAGAAGATGGCCGCCGTCGCCCTCCGCGTCGACGTGCCCGAGGGCGACTGGCTCATGCGGGAGCGGGAGGCCGTCGTCGACGGGTCGACGCCCGCGCGCGGCGGCGTCGCGGCGTGTGTGTACACCGATGGAACCACGCTCCCCGGTAGGTCCACGAGTTCGCGAGCTCCGTCACGGGCAAGTGGAACGCCATGCTCGAGGAGGCGCGCGAGACGCAGCGCGCCGCGCGCCACCGGCCCCTGCCCCCCGGGCCCCGGGAGCGCTGCGCCCGGGCCGCGGCCCACATGCGCGCGCTCCGCGCCGCGGGCGACGACGAGGCCGAGGCCGCGGCCGCGCGGCGCAAGGCCGACGCGCTGCGCGTGCGCGACGCCTGCGTGCGCTACGCGCGGAAGCAGCGGCGCGCGGCGCGCGATTGGCACGACCGCCCCCGCGACGAGGAGCCCGAGGAGCTCGCGGACCTGCCCAAGACGAAGTCGAAGCAGTGGCAGCCAGGGCAGCAAAAGGGTGATTCAACGTCGCTTCAATGTGAGTGTTCCGCGCGCGCGCGTTCTGGAAAAAGCATCCACGCGCGGCCGTTCCGAGAGATGATCGCTCGTCCAAAAATCAGCCGAAACGAGTGGAAAATGGCCGAGATAGGAGCCTTTGAAGTTGGGAATTTCGCTCTCTTGTCCTGCCCAGGTGGCAGCGCGACCTCAAGCTGCACGCGGCCCAGTCGGAGATCCTGTCCCTGGCGAGCGCGACGCTCGCGGACCACGGCGCGACCATCGACTGCGACGCGCCCGCGGACGCGCGCCGCGCGGCGCCGACGCGCAAAGCCTGCGGCGAGGTCGACTTCCTCGCGGCCGTCGAGGCGCGCCTCGACGCGTCCGCCGACGGCCTCCGGTCCATCCTCGACCGGGCGCGCGCGAAGCTGGACGCTAATTAAATGTTTCCGACGTCGAGAGGAGGAAGGGCGGGCCGTCGGCCCGGTCCGCGAGCGCGCGGACGGAGGTGACGCGGTAGTTGGGATAGCCGACGTCCCGGAGCTTGCCGCCCGCGGCCCTGAGCCAGGCCGCGTCGAGGTCCGCCTTCTTGAAGAAGAGGAAGAGGGCCGCCGGCTCCCTCTGGGCGAGGCGCGGGTCGAAGAAGAGCGGGATGTCGTCGGCCTGGATGGCCACGTTCGCGATGGCCGACGCGTCGTCGGCCTCGCCCTTGTTCGAGCTGAGCTGGAACGTCCCGCCGAGGTCCGCCGCGGGCTTCTTCCGGAGCGCTAGAGCTTCCGCGAGCGGCAGCGCCATGACCGCGCCCTCGTCGGCCTTGAGTTTGAGCTTCTTGAGCTTCTTCTCGGCGTCGGCGCGCTGCGCGAAGAAGAACGCGAGGTCCAGCGGCCCGCCCTTGGCCGAGCTGTCCGTGAAGAGCGGCGTCGTGCCGTCGGGCGTCGTGATCACGAAGACGGGGATTCTCGCGGCCTCGGCCGCAAATCCTGGGGCGGCGGCGCTGGCTCGCGGCGCGCGTAGCAGCGCCGCCGCCGCGGCCAGCGGCGTCGCGCAGACGTCGCGGCGATGGACGACGACGTCGCGGCGATGGACGGGTTTCAGCGCCAGCGCTACCGCGACCAAGCAGCAAGTGATGAGAGGCCTCATGCTCAGTCTTTTGTGGCAGAGTAACATAGGTTCAAGAAGCCCTTCAAGCCCATGTTTAGGCAGCCCACAATGAAAATTTTCAAACTCCGGAACGGACCGAAGGTCCGGACCCGGAGGGTCCGGGCCTTCGAGGGGCCGGAGGCCCCGAGAAGGCGGGAGGGGTCGGAGGAGGGGTCGGAGGGGTCGTTTCGCCGGGTTTCGAAGGGGCTTCGGCTCGTCCCTCGGCCTCGATCTTCGATGATTTGCTGGAGGACTACATAGAGTAGTCGTGCTCCGCCACGCCATACTTCGCCGTAGTCCTACGACTAAACCACGACGCTCGCTCGCTCCCGCGACCACGGTAGCGAGCGAAGCGAGCGCAGCGCCGGTGATCGTTCGTCCGACGCCGCGGCCCAACGCGGCGCGCGCGCGGTCCCCGCGGCGGCCGGCGGCGCGCCGTCGCGCGCGGTCTGAGGTCGATTTTTTGGTCATCTAGGGCCGAGGATGCAATTTTTCTCGCGCTGCGCGCGCCCATCCGCAGCGTCGCATCGCGCCCACGCCGCGCGCGCGAGCCGCGGCCGCCGCGGCGGCGGCGCGATCGCTCGCGCCGCCGCCGTCGCGCGCGCTCGCGGAGGTCGAATCTGGCCATCTAGGGCCGACGGGATGCAATTTTTCGCGCGCTGCGCGCGCCTTCGCCCGTAGCGTCGCATCACGTTCAGCACCGCCGCGCGCGCGAGCCGCCGCCGCGGCGCGGTCGCCCGCGCGCGACGGCGTCGCCGTCCCGCGCGCGCGCGCGCGGAGCGCCCGGTCCACGAGCACGCGTTCGTCGAGGAGTGCCGAAGCGCTCGACGACGCGTGCGCGGTCGGTCCACCGCCGCGACGTAGTCCGCGGGCGTCGCGTCGCGCGCGCGGCGACGCGCGCGCCGGCGCCGGCGGCCGCCGGCGCGTCGAAGACCCCGCCGAGCGTCCACGCCCGAGGCCCGGGTTCGCGACGCCCGCCGCGCGCTTCCACCGGTCCGCCCGGCGCGCGGCGTCCGCCGACGGCATCCGCTACCGCTCGTCGCGACGCCGGCGCCGCGAAGCGACGGCCGCGAGCCCCCGCGGCTCCCGCGCGGCGTCGCGCGCGGCCGGGCGTCGCCGGGGCGCGGCGGCGGCGGCCTCCGGCGGTGCGGACGCCGGCGCGAGACGCTCGCGGCGCACGCCTTCGGCCCGGGACGCGGGGCGCGCCTCCGCTGTCACGCCAAGGCCTTGAAGCTCCGGACCTTCATCAACGTTACCGTCATGATGCCATTCGTCCGGAGGTGGCGCCTCTCCTAGATGATGCGAATGCTCGTCGTCGCGCTGGCCGTCGCCGCCGGCAGTGCCAAGCCGAAGAAGCGGCCGGCGCCGCCGCCGCCGGACGACGCGTCGCTCAAGCACGACGGCCCGCTCTACGACGCCGGCGCCGTCGGCGCCGTCGCCGGCGGCAAGTACCCGCTGCCGCCGCCCGTGCTCAACGGCAGCGCCGTCGACGCCGCGCGCGAGCTGGCGGCGCGCAACCGGGCGGCGCTCGCCGCGATCCTCGCGCGCCTCGCGGGCGGCGACGAGGCGCGGCTCTGCGCCGGCCCCTTCCCGGAGAAGCGGGCGACGGAGCTGCAGTGGCTGCACGTCCCAAAGTGCGGCAGCACCTTCGCGACGACCTTCGTCAAGTACGGCTGCGACGCCCTCGCGAAGCGGCCCGACGTCTACCTCGGCGCGCCGCCGCCGCCGGACCTCGCGAAGCCCGACGGCCGGACCATGGGCACGACGGCGCTCGCGCGCATGGCCGGCGCGCTGTGCGGCGACGACCACCGCTTCGGCCTGCTGCACAACGACGGCGTCGTGGCCTCGCTGACGCACTTCGCGGCCCACTACCCCATCCAGAACCCGAAGCACGACCCCCGCGTGGCCGTCGTGCTCCGGAGCCCGAACCAGCGGACGCTGTCCGCGTACCACTTCGGCCGGCATTTCTGGGGCAGCGAGATGAAGAACCGCGAGGGCACCATCGGCAGCCGCCACTTCATCCGCTGGCGGTCCTTCATCAGCGCGGCCATGGCCGGGCCCCGGGACTACGCGGCCATGCCGGGCCTCCAGGGCTGCTTCACGAAGATGCTCCACGGCTGCTACTGCGCGACGCGGCCCAAGGAGGTCCCGCCGGATTTGCGGCGGACCTACGCCGGCGACGCGTCCCAGGTCGCCTGCCCCTGGCAGTGGAAGACCTTGGACGTGGCGCTCGCGCGCGCCGCGGCCGCGCGGCTCCGGCGCTTCGCGTTCGTCGGCTTGCAGGAGGCGTACAACGCGTCCGTGTGCCTCTTCCACAAGCGCCACGGCGGCGACGTCGACCCGGCGGAGTTCGGCCTCTTCAACGTCGGCTACGCCCAGCGCGACAAGCAGCACCACCTCAGCAAGGCGCAGCAGGCGGGCCTCCAGCGCGAGAAGTACGGCCTCAGCTCGCTCCGCGCGAAGCCGTCCTGGGACGAGGCGCCCCTCGGGGACTACGTCGACGCCATCGACGAGCTCGTCTGGGCCGCGGCGCTGGAGCGCTTCGAAGCCGACGTCGACGCCGTGCTAGGCGGGGATTAAAGGCGGCGCGGACCGCATAGTGCCGCCCTATTGAAGCTAAGGTGACAGCGAAAAAAAGCTCAGTCCTTAGAAGGGGGGTGACACCGGCCTCAAACTCGGCCCAGCAGGCCCAGGAACGTCGCCAAATCACTGCATAGGCTGATGTGAGCGCCCTGAGCGCGTAAATGGACTTGTGGGGACGTCTGGCGACGCGGTCGGAGCGCTCGGAGGCGTCGAAAATCGACATGTACAAAATCGATATAATGCAAGCATTTCATTGGTCGGATTCGAATCCGCCGGCATCCAGCAGCCCCGGAGCGCCTCGAGGGGCAGCCCGGCTCGTCGCGCGTGGCCATGGAGCGCGACGCCTGGAGTCAGGGTGGCGGCGGTGGACACCTCGTACCCATGGGTGACTCCG